CAGCCCCCACGCTGGTGCGTGCGTGCGTGTAGCCCCCACGCTGGTGCGGGAATGCATGCAGCTCCCACGCTGGTGCGTGAGTGTGCGCAGCCCCCACGCTGGTGCGTGCGTGCGTGTAGCCCCCACGCTGGTGCGGGAATGCATGCAGCCCCCACGCTGGTGCGTGAGTGTGCGCAGCCCCCACGCTGGTGCGGGAATGCATGCAGCCCCCACGCTGGTGCGGGAATGCATGCAGCCCCCACGCTGGTGCGTGAGTGCATGCAGCCCCCACGCTGGTGGGTGAGTGCGCGCAGCCTCCAGCGCGGTGGGTGCCGTGGAGTGGTGGCGCAGCCCCCACGCTGGTTCTGCGTGGAGTGCGGTGTAGCCCCCCCAGCGCTGGTGCGTGAGGGGTGTGCGCACGCCCCCATCGCTTGTGGTGCGGTGAGTGTGCGCAGGCCCCCACGCGTTTGTGGACGTGCCGTGAGTCGTGCGCACCTCGCCCACGCTTGTGGTTGGTGAACCCCGTGACGTGCGCCGCGAGCCCCAGGCACACACATAATGACAATGCAACAATCAATGAGCACAAAACTTAGGGGACTGTATTCCCAAAATCAAGAATCTCATTTATTCTTTAAAGAATATTCAGGGCATGGCACACATTGTATCTCTGGCCAAAGTACACAGTGATCCTTTGTATATTAGTTCGTTCCATCCTCTTATAATTGTACTTAAAATGATAATATGACTAATATAAATAAATTAATAAGAATACTGGGCTGAACGTTACCAATACGCGCATAGCTACTGAGGTAATATACTCGATACCTAAAATATGTCTCTATGAACGTGTTTGAGGATGGCAATTTAACTAAATATTTAAGAATTAATGCGCGAACCATTTATCAATTGTCAATACGATTTTCAAAATTAACACAGTGCCGGCATAGGAAATTATCGAATTGGAAAAATGCAAACATCAATGAGTACAAATAAGAATGTTTTCCAAAATCGAAGGAATCTCATTTTATTTTTAAAGAATAGTTCAGCATGTCACCACATTGGTAGCTCTTGCGTAAATCTTCCCTTATCTATAATTAAAGCGTTCATCCTCTTATAATTGTATTAAAAATATAATGACTAATATAACCACAAATTAACCAATATAAATGAATATAAATTAATAAGAATACCTGAACGTTACATACTCGCATACTTGAGAATACACTCATACTCGAACAATATGTCTCAATGAAACGTTGTGAGCGGATGGCAAGGATAAACTATATTTAATAATAGAGTACCGCAACCATTTATATTGAATATTCAAAACTTAACACCAGTGCACGGCATAGGAAAATAAATGTAAAAATGCGAACAAGCAATTGAGCACAGCAATTAGTGTAGAATGTTTCCAAAATCAAGAATCTCATTTATTTTTAAAGAATATTCAGCATGTCACAATTGGTACTCTTTGCGTAAATTTATCCTTTTATAATATCCATTCATCCTCTTATAATTGTACTAAAAAATATAATATGACTAATATAACCACAAATTAACCAATATAAATTTATATAAATTAATTGCCAACCAAACGAACACAACAACCACCAGCAAACAACATATAATATTTTTAGATATACATCTTTAGAAGTGCCATTCCTTAATAAATTTCAGACGTTATTCATGCATAACCGAATAACCTCTGTGCCAGGCGTAATATCTAATATATATAAGATATTATCATATATAATAGTTCAAACAACGCGGGAGGCGAAACAGCTGCAGTTATTTCCACTTTCTTGGTAAGTCCCCCGTTAAGAAAAAATACTTAACTTTCTTCTTAGCAAGTATGATAAAACAATGAAAGTATCAAACATATTACATGCCACCTTAAAAATTATGTATATATATATATATAATATATATATATTACTTATTGTACATTAACAGTATAAGAAAATGCTGATCCATTCGTAGTAACTAAGAAAGATTGATCTCTTTATACTAGACGAGTGAGACACCACGCCACACATGGAAAACATTCATACAACAATTTCAAGGGATGCAGTATAGATGGTTGGAAGGCACAGTTTGTTGTATAAATCGTATTTGATATACAACTTTGGCAGAGCTGGTTTGTGTAACTTCAGGACTTAGAAAGTATGTAGAACACATAATGAAACTACGTTTAATCTGCTTAGGGTGATGATATCAATAAGGACGTCACATGTAGTGTTACAGAACAAATCTAAATTCCAGACCAAACGTGCAATGTCACACCAATTACCATGAACCTACATATATACGTAGGATCATCATCATACTATGACAGCATATAGTGAAGTAACTTTAATCACACATCAATACTGTAATGAAGGATGATCTGTTATCACAGTGACTCTGCAGAACTCTTCTAAAAATTTCAGGTGCCTTGTTGGTCAGTTTCTCTTTGGCCCAAATCATTATTCATAACATCCAAAATCATTGTGTAAATAATGTTATTTGACATTCACATTATAATGATCGCACTTTCACCAATTCCTTGCATTGAACACTTATATTCCTTGAAATGATCTTATGGACTGAATATAATACATACTGCCTAAACAATCCACTACATGTGTACGAATTTCTGTATGTATATATTTCTTATATAAAATTGTTTAACTAACAGCTTCTGATTTGTCAAGACCATGTTTGGTGTAAAACGAACTCAACAAGTGAACAATTGCACTCAGAGCTGTGACGTATGACTTTATATCTTTCTCCAGCTAAAATAGAAAAATACAAATTATTTTATTTATAGCACTCACAACATCAAATTTGCCATTATTAATCAGGATATATGACAATGGCATGTGTACAATAAGCTTTCCAATCTAATATGCGGCATGTAACACTATATATACATACACACAATTATGCTAAGAGATGAACTCTAGTGAGCTGCCTGAACTGGCTTTGCACACAGGGCACGTGATTTGTGCACATGCCTACATCGTGGGGAAACTGAAGGATTAGTTTAGTTGTGCTTAGTTTAAGCTGCTAACTTCCACGCCAGCTATGGTGACTACTTGATGCATCAAGGTCACATAGAGCTTCGTGCAATAAAGTTTCAAGATGTTATGTATGTATTTCACCCACATGCAGGTGAAGACATAGACGGCAAGACTCCGATATCGTTACAGTTGCGAGTGGAAGCATGAGTTTTGTTGAATTATAATATATTAATGTTGCTTGAGACCAATAGTGGACCTCGACCTCTATTTTTGAGGTACATAACTGAGAACTCCACCCTACCTGAACAACCAAGCAATAATTATTTTATCATATATGTAAAATCAGGAGTAAAGGAGTCTTCCACATTCTAGTGAGAGAATGCACATACATCTTCCATTATAAAAGTTACGCATACCAGAAAAACGTAGGTAAAAAAGCCGGTTCAGTCCTTTAAAAGATCACGTAAGAGCAAATCTTCGTTACATATCATGAGTATACTGGTCATAGTTTATGAATTACGCAGTGCTCGAAATAAGAAAAAAAATGTGGTTGTCCGCAACAATTTCTGGTTGTCCCAAAAAATATCCCCAAATCTCCTATTTTCAATCACATAATAATACGCTGCCGGCAGCCGGGCACGGTCTTCGATTTCCTAAATGCCCGGTAGTTCCTAACCCTAACCCTTGTTTACTTGAGATAACGCTGAAAATTAAAAACTGCCGGGCATATAGCCACTCTGATAATAATATGATCAGAAAACACACAAAAACAGTGGCGTAGCCAGGATTTTTTAACAAGGGGGGCCAAAAACAGCGAACTGCGCAAAATAGTGGATGACTTAATATTTTAATGGCTCCTCCGCCTCCCTCTCTACACCCTACGGCTCCTCTACCTTCTAGCTCTAGAACTAACTTACTATGTTACTAACTTAGTATAACTAAGTATATAACTAAGTTAGTATGGGCGTGTTTGTTTGGACGGATCATATAATCTTGATTACACGGATCCAGTGATCCTGCGCGTTTGTTTGGTTCGATCAGTGATCCGGATCACAAATTCCTGAGTGAACGGTGTCGTGAATAAACGGTTTAACCTGCTTCAACTTCAAGTTCAGGCAGTGCTTGCGGGATGAAACTTAAAGCGTTTGTGTGCAACGAATCCATCTAATCAGGATCACTGATCCTGATCTCCACAAAAAACGCAAGCTCACTTCCAACGATTCACGTTTCACTGTGACCTATTACAGGATGTTTCGTAACAAACAACAAGCAGTGGTTGGGCGGGTCGCACATTCACGCTGTCATATTGGGTGCCCTGTGAATCTACCTATCAATCAGGTTCGGGAATTTGTGATCCAGATCACTGATCTGCCTAAACAAACATGCAGGATCACTTGATCCACCCAAACAAATGCACCCGAAGGGTGAGGGGGATTTGCATGGGATCCAATATGGCGCCACCAATGGCGGCATCCGACTCTGCCAATCACTGCTTGTTATTTGCTATGAACCATCCTGTGATAGCGAAACGTGGACAATTGGAAGAGTTTGCGTTTGTTCGGGCAGATCAGGATCAAGTGATCCTGATCAGACGGATTCCTCCCAAACAAACTCGATCACCCTATATATAGAGATCAGTGATGGTGTACAGCAGTAGAGGGCATCCATAGACAACAGGCCTGAGCATCGAACAGAAATTAATTAAAAATACTAAGAGAGTTTCGAGAGTGCATCATAGATCATGCATAGATATATACAAACAAATGTGTATATGGATGGAGTTATGGCGGTTATGTGTGCGTGCGTGTAGCCCCCACGCTGGTGCGTGCGTGCGTGTAGCCCCCACGCTGGTGCGTTATAATGTGAATTGTCAAATAACATATATTTAGCACAATGATTATTGGATGTTATGAATGAATGATTTGGGTCTTCAAAGAGAAAACTGACGGCAACGAAGGCACCTGAAATTTTAGAAGAGTTCTCGCAGAGAAGTCACTTGTGATAAGCAGATCATCTTCTTCTTACAGTATTGATGGTGTGATTAAGTTACTTCTACTGATATGTCTGTCATTTAGGTTAGTGATTGAGATGACCTACGTCAAAATGTTAAGGGTTCATCAGGTATAATTGAGGTGTGACATTGTGCAGTCGTTGGATTCTGGAATTTAGAGATTTTTTCTGTAACACTACCTGGTGACGTGCATATTGATATCATCCACGCCTCCACAGCAGATTAAACATAGGTTTCATTATTTCTACATACTTTCTAAGTCCTAGGAAGTTAACACAAACCAGCTCTGCCAGTTGTATATCAAAACGATTTATAGCAACAAACCGGTCTTCCAACCATCTATACGCTTCCCTTGAAATGTTGTATGAATGTTTTCCATGTTGTGGCGTGGTGTCTCACGTCGTCCGCTAGTAGGTACAAGAGATCAATATTTCATTATTACTTAACCGATGGGATGCAGCATTTTCTAATTCTGTTAAATCATACAATGAAGGCTAATTATATTATATAGATATACTATATATATAGCTCGGTACTACAATGATTTTACAGGTGGCAAGTGTAATATGTTGATACTGTCATTGTTTCTATCAACTTGCTAAGGAAGGAAAGTTAAGTATTGTTGTTTCTAACTGGACCGTAACCATAATAAATGAAAAAATCAGCTGTTCCCGCGCCGCGTTGTTTAACTATTATATTATGATATAGTATATACTATATTATTAGAATCATTAGGCCTGCCACAAAGGGTTATTCGCGGGTTATCATACAATCAACTCTGGGAAAGAATAAGAATTAATAAGATTGGCACTTTCGCTAAAGGAATGTATACTTCTAAAAAATTATTAAGTTTGTTGCTGTGGTGCTTGCTGTTCGTTGCTTGCAACTTAATTTATACTACAAATTTATATTGGTTAAATTTGTGGTGTATATAAGTCATGATTAATTATTTTTTTTAGTACAATAAAGTCAAAGCAGAATGGAATATTCATAAAAAGATACAATTTACGCCCATAAGAGTACCGCCGAAGTGTTGAAAAGTCACCCTATCTTTAAAAATCAAATTGAGATTCCTTTGATTTTGAAACATTCCTATTTTGTGCCTTCATTGATGTCTGCACTTTTCACATTATTTTGCGCCCTATGCTCGGCAACCTGTGTTAATCTTTGAATCGCTGTGTCAAGAATAAGATGTCTGCGTATCGTATTAATACATAATTAGTTAATCCTTGCCATCCTCAAACGTTCAGGGTGAAGACATATTTTTAGGATGAGTGTATTCTCAGTATTGCGAGTATTGTAACGTTCCAAGCTTTCTTATGTATTTATATCAATGTTTATATTGTGTAATTTGTGGTTAATATAGTGCAATTATATTTTTTAAGTAGCAATTATAAGAGGAGAACGTTAATTGTAAAAGAATCCATATTTACGCGCAGAGTAAGCAATTTGTGGAGCATGCTGATAATGTCTTCTAAAAATAAATGAGAGATTCTCTGATTTTGTACGACATTCTAGTTTGTACTCCTAAGATATGATTTTGCATCATTTCATTGATGTTCCTATGGCCGAGAGCATGCTGGTGTTAAAATTTCTGAAGGATATGCAAATGAATCGGTATTAAAACGTGCACATCTAGATATGTAAGATATTAGTTTTATATTTCTGCCAAACACACAACATCCTCATTATGAGACATATTTTTATGTAGTAGAGTAGTCATTATTCTCAAGTAAGCTATTTGCGATATGTCAACGTATCAGACGATGAGGGACAAGGCTATTCGATTGATGGTTCTATATTTTAATTTATTATTAGGTCCACGTAAATTATATTGTTTGTAAGTCGGGTTACGATTCGATTTATACAAGAGCATGATCGAATATTGAATACAAAGGGAAGCATCAATTACGCATGAGTTACTAATTGTCGAGCCAGTGCTGAAATATTGCTTAGATCAAAAATAATATAGATTCATGTGGATGTCGGAAGAGCATTCATTTTCGTGCTCATGATTTGGGCATTGTCAATTCATTTCCTGGGCTGCGCGCACTCATTGCGCACCGGCCGCACGAAAGCGCGGGCTGGTCGCACAACAATCACGAGGCAGCCCACAAGGCGTGTGCTTATGCGCAAACACCACTGCGACGCACCCACTCAAGCTGGGGCTGGCGCACACTCACGCACACGCGCGCCGGGGCCACCACCACTCACGCGCGCACCAGCGTGGGCTGCGCACTGATCCCCTCAGCGGCAACCCACCAGCTGATGGCGCGGCGCACGTCACCGCACTCAACGTGCGGGCTGCATGAGTCCCGCACCAGCGTGGGTCTGCACATGCATTCCCGCACCCGCGTGGGGGCCTCATGCATTCCCTGGCACCAGCGTGGGCTGCGTCACACTCACGGCCACGCGGCAGCGTGGGGGCTGCATGCCGAATTCCCCGCACAGTCAGCGTGGGGGCTTCATTCATTCCCTCAGGCACTCAGCAAAGTGGGGCTCGCGCACACTGCACGCACGCAGCGTGGGCTGCGCACACTCAACCTGCACGGTCAGCGTGGGCTTGCACGCATCTTCACTGCACACAGCGTTGGGCTGCACACACTCACGCCACAGCTAGAGTGGGGGCTGCGCCTAACACTCACGCACACTAAGACAGCGTGGCGGCTGCGCCGACTCACGCACCACGTGGGGGCCTACACCACTCACGCACCAGCGTGGGGGCTGCGCACAACGCCGGCTGAGTCTGGGGGGGGGGGGC